TGTGTGCCCTTGCGGTCCTGCTTGTTCTGGGGGCTGTGCGTGACAGGGGGTGGGCAGCTCTCCACTAACCACAGAGGAAGTCAGCAGTGTGCTCCCCCCCCTCCCTCACAGTCCTGAGCAGTGAGGGTTGATCAGTGACAGTGCCTGGAAGCATGGGTCCCATGGAAGGCTCAAGCAACAGCAGCTGAGGGTCGCCATGGTTGCGGAGCTACCAAAAAAGTGGAAAGAGGAAGAGGCAGTCCAAAGACATGTTTGAAAGGCATCCTTAGTTCATGCCTGGAATCCCCTATTCCCAGAAGCTGAGGCAGAAGGTTCAATGTAAATATAAGGACAGTCTGAAATACAGAGTGAGTTCTGAGACAGCCTATCCCCTGGAAAGGAAAGGAAAGAAGGGAAGAAGGTAGGGAGAGAGGGAGGGAAGGAGGGGGAGGGAGGGAAAGAAGGAAGGGAGAAAGGGCCGGTGATAGGAAGTTAGGCGTTCATGCACGCATCCTTTGCACACAGATCCGGGGATGTGGTATCCTCTGACCACCTTCTGAAAGTCTGTGAAATCTTTCAAACATCATGCCCGACAGACTCTCTTCTGCCAGTTCTCTCAGGCAGGCTCAACTGTGTGCTAAGCCCCATCCAACAGGTTAACCCCCCATCCAAAAGGTTAACCCGTCATCAACGTCATTTTGCCCTCTGAGCAGCCTTTATGCTCTTGGTAGGTGTATCTATTCTTGCTTTGCAAACGAGTAGACTGGCAGGACCTGGAGCACTGCAGGGAGACTCACCTGAGGTCAGGAAAGCTCCTCCCTGAGGCCAGTACCTGCAGGTGCCAAGGCCCAGGCTGTCCACAGGGCCAGAAGCTCTGCACGCAGGAGAGAAACTCCCTGGTGTATTCTGAGCTTTGGGCTGAGGGCAGTGGAAAGGGGAGAGCGGGGTTTGTGACTAAACAACGAGCAAAATATCAGGTGTGACTTGGGAACAAGGGAAGATGGGCTTAGCAAAAGGGGGAAGGGCCTGGAGTTCTCCCAGGCCAGGTGAGGAAAAGCAAAAGAGGGTGTTGGGCTCCTGGCTTGGGAGAAAACTCTGACACCAGCTCTTCATGGGAATGAGGAGCTCATCCAATTCTGTCGTTTTATACATGGGAAAACTGAGACCCAGAGAGGGAAGGGCAGGGTCTCAACAAAGGCGAACAGTGTTGGGGCTGAAGAGATGATGGTTTAGAGGTTAAGAGCACTGGCTGTTCCTCCAGAGGACCGGGTTTCGTTTCCTAGCACCTACATGGAGGCTCACAGCCTTCTGTAACTCCAGTGCCAGGGAATCTCATGCCCTCTTCTGGCCTCCCTAGGCACCTGGCTCACACAGGATGCACAAACATACAAACAGGCAAAAATCCCACATACATAACTTTTTTTTTTTAATTCAAAGATGTGCTGTATTGTCAGGGTGTCTGGGTCCCTTGAATGCAGTACTATGCACAGGAACTATGAACCTGAACCTGTGAGCTTTACACCTCAGGCTGGAAGAGGCGGAGAAGTCTTCAGTCTTGATGAAATGTTACAGGCCTTTTCACACTGTTGCAAGACAAACTCCCGCTTCCATCTCCTAGCTCTTTCTCATACCTGTGGCCACCTCATCATTTGTGACAGTGACAAAGAGCTTATCCCACTCTGGGAGGTTGATAATGGACACAGGTGTCATCATTGTGGCATGAATGCAGTACTGGAATGTCAGAACCCAAATCAGGACAGTACGATGCAGGAGAGGGGGCTGTCTCCACGGCAGGGCCCACGCAATCTGTTCACAACCCGCTGCCAAAGGCGTTCCCCCTCTCTCTCCCATCTCTTCCTTCTAGAGAGAATTGTGTTCAGGGTGTAGGGGCAGAGGGAGCTGTTCTGTGGGATATGGTGGAGCCACTCTGTATGCAGAGGCAGGAGAAGAGGAAGGTGGATGTGGATGGAACCCCAAGGTGGTGACCCGAGGATCCTTAGAGGTGGGGACAGGCTGTGTTCCATTTCCAGGCCCTGCCTGAAGGCATTCAGCCTGAAGATGGAGAGTCTGATGTCAAGGTTGAGAACCTCGGCTTTAGTCAGGTAGTCTGGAGTCCGGTCTCCCTTCTTCCACTTAAACACTGCTTTCTCCTTCCGCCCAGGAACGGTTTTACAACTACTACCTATACGCCAAGTACTGAGTAGTGATCATAACCTTGACCCGAGGATCCAGGCTAATTCATGACACAGGGCTGATCAGAGCAGCCACTGGCGGTGGGGTTTTCCGTGAGGACTGAGGAAGTGGCTACCTCTGATTGCAGAGAGCATGCCAGCTGTTGGCCAGGCACAGTGCGTATCCACTGACAGGGCGGAGGCAAGCATGTCATCATTTTGAGACAAGTCTGGGCAGTATAAATTGTCCCTTATCAAAAGAAAAAAAGAGAGAGAGAAAGAGAGGGAGAGAAGGAAGGAAAGAAGGAGAAAAGCCAGCTGTTATTAATCTCATCTCGGATTTTTCAAGAGCATCTCATGGAATTGAAACACTGGAACAATTAATATCCTGACATTTGTGCCATAGCTTAGGTTTTAAAAGCACTCCCTCACACATTAGCTTATCCAGGTCTTCCCGAAGCCACGGAAACTACAGCCCTGGTGTTGTGTGCTGAGATTAGCCTTGCAAAGCCAGGCCTGGTAGTGCATTGACTATAGATAGACCCAGCACCAGCACTTGGGAAGTGAAGGCAGGAAGATGAACAGTTCAAGGCCATCTTCCATTACCTCTCAAACTTGAGGCCATCCCAAAGGACGTGAAATTCTGTCTTTAAAAACATTAGCTTTGGAAATAGGTGCTTTACTCTCACTAATTTCTTGGAAGAGACGGTCGGGATTGAATCCTCAGTGTTAAGTCCCCCAGCCTATCCACTGCCAGCAGCTGTGACGAGGAGAGGAGCTGGGAGGCACTGTGGGCCCACAGGACGGGAGTTTGCTGACACCCTGACTCTCAACGGTCCTCCGGCTTCCTGGCCTCGCCGGCTGAGATGTGCTCCGGGGAGGCCTTAGCATCCGCTGCGTGACCAACACTCCTGGGCCCGTCGCCAGCAGGGTTAGAGGCGCTGGCAGCCACCAAGGCCGGAGGACTCCTGGGGGACCCGCCCCGGGACTGCCTGTCCTTCCAGTCCAGCCCACGCTCCAGCATCGGGGTGGGGGGGTTCTGGGCCTTCCTTCTCCAGCCAGGAGCCAGCAGCCCCTGGGCAAAGAGCCGATGGCTCATCCCCTCCCCCTGGCCTTCGGGGACAGCGGCGGGGATTGGGGGCTCGGAGATCCGGAGATCCGTCAGACCCTATGGGGAGTTGAGCCACAGGTGCCCTCACCCACTAGTCCCTGGACCTTCCAGCCACCCTCCTGAGCCCTTCTCCCCATCCCTGGCAGCCAGGTGATGGGACGACAGCTAAAGAAACTGAAGGACAAACAGGTTGCCTGAGAGGGGAAGCAGCTAGGACCAGAGTTACAAACTGGATCTCAGGGTTAAAGTGGGGTCCTCGGCCACCTCCACAAATTGGCTTCACAGCTGGAAGGGGGGTCTCCCTTGCCTGACTCATCTGCCTGCATCCTTCCACCCACCCACCTAAGGACCGAGGGCCTCCAGTACGGTGTGGGCCAATTCTCTTAAGGGAATGAAAGTAGATAGGGCACGAAGACTAAAAGGAGGCGTGGAAGAGAAAGCCTGATGGGTTAAGCTCCCCTCCTCAGGCAGGAAGCGTTCCCTCCCCTGGCAGTTGACTGTCCAGTGTTGTTAATTGTTAGTTCGTTGTACGGGCATGTTAGCGCCCTGCTCGTGGCCTCTCCGCCACCGCTGCTGCTGCTGAGGGAGAGACACACTTGACTGCTGTTCAGATAAGGAAGGATGTCTTTTCCTCCTGGATGCAGTCCCTTCCACCTGCACCAGACTTCACAGTTTGTAAGTTCTTCGGGTCTGCAAGATAGGGTTGTTTCGATGAGGGAGAAGTGAGGGCAGGTAACAGACACTGTTTCCTGGCGCTGTCACTGGTTAGGACTGAGCCCCTGTGTCTCACGGGAGCTCCATCCTCAGGGCTCCGGAAGGTCCTCCAGATTTGCCCTTCTGGGGCAGTTTTCCCAGTGTGTGGGCTGGTTCTGTTGATAAAACGCTTGTTGAAGAAGCATGAGGACCTAAGTCCAAGACTCAGCACCCATATTAAAAAAAAAAAAAAAAAAAAAAAAAAAAAAAGCCTGTAATCCTAGGACTGAGTAGGTAGAGACAGGAAGATCCCTGGGGCTTACTGGTCAACCCTAACCCTAACTCTCTCCCCCCAAATAAATAATAATAATAAAATTAAAGCCTAAGTTAGAGAGTGACGTAGAAAGACAGCCAGTGTTGACCTCTGACCTCCATGCGCACGCACACACAAAAGTTGCTGAGTTTCCCATCCCGCTCCCGTGAGTTTCTGACTCTATAGTACTTTCTATTTTAAACAAGTTTTCAATGGAAGCTGAAGCTGCAGCCCTCCCCTTTCCTTGTCTCACTGAATCAGCATTTGCCTTGGCCGGGGCAGGCATGGGTTCCAGGGCCGAATACCAAAATACCCAAAATAGCCTGCCAAGCCTGTAGGGTGCCCCTGAGCCACACCTCCCTTCCCAGGAACCTTGTTTGTCTTGGAGTGTGGGGGCCCTCAAGCTGCAGGCTACCGAGGCCTTCCTGGAATTTACACAGACTTTAAACAGCCAAGCCCAGCCTCGCGTGCCTCGGGAAGGAAAAATGTGGTGTCGGGGAGGGGGTCACCTGGGGGTGGGGGGGCTGCAGGGTGTACCTGAGACTGGGACTAAAAATATTTCTTGGCCATCTTAGGGACAGGATGCCAGAGGAATGAGGGACAGCACACCTCAGTGTACTTGAAAAACTCTAAGAGAGCAGGAAATGGTGCCCAGCCCATTCCAGATGAGTGAAAGGAGCGGAGGCCCCTCGGCTCACCCGGGTCTCCCCTGTTTGGGGCCTTCTCTTCACAGACCACCCGGAGAACGGAGGGGGAAAGCCGGAAGGAGGCAGCAAGGCCCGGAAGGAGAGGACGGCCTTCACCAAGGAGCAGCTGCGGGAGCTGGAGGCGGAGTTCGCCCACCATAACTACCTGACCCGGCTGCGCAGATACGAGATCGCGGTCAACCTGGACCTCTCAGAGCGGCAGGTGGGATCCAGGCGCTTGTCGGTGCTTCCCGGATCTCCACTCACCTCCCTTCCCCATCGCCCCTGGCCGGATTCCCGTCCTTTCTCTACCCAGCCCGTGGTCCTCAGTCACAGCTGTACCTGACACTCACCCGTCCAGTCCCGGGTAGAATGATCTGAGCTCCGCCCACGGAGACCACTGTCCTTGTTTTGGGATGCAGCTTGCGCAGCCGCTGCACTTGAGAGGCAGAAGCAGGATTGTGAGTTCAAGGCTACCCCGGGCTACACAGTGAGCTGAGCCTAGCCTAAGGAACTGTCTTGAAAGAAATCAAAAGATGGACTGGTGTTGTACCTCAGGGGTAGAGCTCGGAAGAAGCCCTGGGTTTAATCCCCACACCACAGACAGAGCATAGTATCACACGCCTGTAATCCCAGCACACTGATCAAAGGATCAGAAGTTCAAGGCCATCCTTAGCTACATAGGGAGTTCAAGGCCAGCCTGGCCTAGAATGAGATCTTATTAAACACAAACAACAACAAAAGGTTAAAATAAAATTCAGATTCCAGGGGACAGTTTTGCAGTAATAATGAGTGGGAATGGGGATATGCATTGGAAGTAAATTCTCAGGTGAAACAGATGTGCAGCTGGGTCCTGGGGCACTGAGGAAGAGGCATTTCCTTGAAGCATCACACCTGCTTTTGTGAGGCACAACAGTGGTATTAACAATTAATAGCAGTCTTCAGTTGCTAAAGCGCGCTGCAGGAGTGTGGGGTTTGGAATCGGAAGGCTTAGATTCCGGTCTTGTCTCTGTCACATCCTGGCCCCTGTGATCTCTGGGTTCCATCTCTGCAACAGGATCATAATCCTAGTGTCCCATGACGGTGAAGGTCAGATTCAGGGCTATAGAAACTAAGAGGTGCTTTATCAGTGTGCTGAAGAATGGAGGTGGTGGGGGTCTGTTCTCAGCCCTTACGGGAGTAGAGGCTGGGAGACCGGGAGCCCGGTGACGAGGAGGAGGCAGGGCGTGTAAAAGCTGGGGCGATGCAGAGTGACTTTCCAGAGAGTCTCCCCACCTCTTCCAACACCTGGAGACACAGGCAGGCCTCGGGGAAGAGCTGTGTGTTCGCCCTCCCTGTTCCCTCCCCGGATCCTTGGGGGACGAGGAGCCACAAGTGAGGGCTCCAGATGTTGGCCACACAGGAGCGACAGGGAGGCCCTGACCTGAGGCCTTTGCTTCCTCCCTCAGGTCAAGGTGTGGTTCCAGAACCGGAGAATGAAGTGGAAACGAGTGAAGGGGGGCCAGCCTGCATCCCCACACGAGCAGGACCCGGAGGATGGGGACTCTGCTGCTTCTCCAAGTTCAGAGTGAGATGTCCCAAAGACCAAGACAGACTGAACCCCCTCTCCTACTCCTCCACCCTCCCCCTCCCCCTCTCCTGGACCCACCCAGGGCAGGCTCTGCACACGTCGTGTTGACTCTCTCAGACGTAAAGTTGCCCGGTACATGGGAGCCTTGAGTTTCCCAGCATCACCCATTTCAGCAGCCCCTCCCCCAGGGCGTCAGCTCCCCACGCTCTTCCTGAACTCCACAGCACCTACTGGACTGGGAGACTCTAGAGACCCAGGACACTCTTTTCTGGGTCTCTTAGCTGCTACCCATACCTCCTGCCACCCGACTCCTACATCAAGGTCTCCTCTGGGTCTGGCCTCCATTTGGCCTGTGCAGAATCTCTTCCTTGGTGCCACAGCCGGTGACTTGTGAAATCGAAACCCTCTCCAGACATTCACACCGTTGACTTGAAGACTAGAAAGTGGCTCTTGTATCTGAGGGTGGAGAGGAAAGCACAAGAGCTGATGGATGAGGACCTAGACTTGTGGACCTCTGGAACAGAAAGTTCTCCGGCTGCAGCATCCTCTGCTCTTCAAGGACTCTGACTGCAAATGAGGGCAGGAAAAAGTCCCATCTTCCTCCCTGGGATGCATTTTGGCCCATCCTGTGTGTTCCCCAGCGGCTGTTTTGTGGGAGGAACTCCCAGGTTCACACACGTGGCTTCTAAGGATGATTGCTGTGAGGATTGGTGGACAGACAGCTCTGGGCAACAGCAGCCTTGAAAGAGAGCCCTGTGCACCTCAGAATTAGATGCTGCATCTCCCAGTCCCTGCTGACATTGCAGAGGAGGTCAGCAAGTATTTGAATCCCTTGCATGTAGACTTGGTCGTGGGTGTTTAAAAATAACCCCAATTCCCCATCCCACCCCACAAAGACAAAAGGCTGTGGAAAGTGATTCTCAAATGAGACGGCGAGTTAGAGCACGTATCATTTTCCCCTAAAGCATACTTCATATGTTTTTTCCCCCCTAAGATTACATCAAGCTGGTTGTGCGAGGTCTGTTCAGAGAAATAAAACAACAACAACAAAATGCACATTTTCCAGCCTTTTCCTTTATAGAGTTCAGAGTCAGGGCTCCCGTGTGTAATGCTTGTTGTTTATTGAATGATCACCCAGACAGTGTCTAGATGGAAAGAGAGAAAGGGCAGAAATCAGCCAGACCAAAGTTATCTTCCCATGGGTTCTTCAGAAGGTGGGTACCGGGCTGGAGAGATGGCTCAGGGCTAGAAACACTTGCTGCTGTTTCAGAGGCCAGAACTTAGTCCCCAGCACAGACACCAGGCAGGGCACAACCGCCTGTAACTCCAGTGCCAGGGAGACCTGACATCCTCTTGTGGTGTCTCTGGACACGACACCCAAAGCGCATGTCTATCTCTCTCTCTCTCTCTCCCACCCTCCGCCCCTTTCCCTCTCTGAACAAATAAATGTAATTTTTAAAACTTGGAGCTGGAGAGACAGCTCAACTGATGAAGTGCCTGTCTACTTGGTGAGTTTCCAGCCAGTGACTTTGTTGCAAGAAAAAAAAAAAAAAAAGTGTGTGTATGTGGGGGTGGGGGGAATTAGGGGGGTGACTGGAGAGATGGCTGGGTGGCTGCTCTTCCAGAGGACCCAGATTCCATTTTCAACACCCACATCACGGCTCACAACCATCTGTAACTCCAGTTCCAGGGGATCCAACAGCCTCTGGCCTGCTTGAGTACTTACATGGTATACATACATACATACATACATACATACATACATACATACATACATACATGCAGGCAAAAAAAAAACAAAAACAAAAAAAAACCCCACACCCATAAAAACAAAGAAACAAACAAAAACTTAAATGGACTGTGCCCAGAGGCCCCCACAAGCATGTGTACCCACACGTGTGCACACGAACAGGCCCTCGGTTACACACAGAAGAATTAAAAACTGTATCAAAGTAGCACCAGGCGCTATGGCTCAGCGGCTGAGTAAAAGTCCTCGCCACCAAGTCACACAACCTGAATTTGGTCCCCAAGACCCCCAAGTTGGAAAGGGGGGGGCCGACTACTGCCAAGTTGTCCTCTGACCTCTACCCGCACACCATGGCTCATGCACGTGGTCACAAGTGAATAAATAAATGTAATCATTCTTTAAAGGTGGTCCAACTACTTTTTTCTTTATGTGCATTGGTGTTTTGCCTGCACATATGTCTAAGTGAGGGTGTCAGATCTCCTGGAATTAGAGTTACAGACAACCGTGAGCTGCCATGTAGGTGCCGGGAATTGAACCCAGGTCCTCTGGGAGAGCAGCCAGTGTTCTTGACCGCTGAGCCATCTCTCCAGGCCCAGTCCAACTACTTTTCAGTAGGACAATACCTGGCATTAGCCAACAACATTCATTTCTAAAACAGAAAAAAAAAGAAGTCCTTCAGTGTGGAAGTTGTGATTACTTAAAAACTCCCGAAGTGACTAGGTCTCATTGTCTCCGGCAGTGAAATGAAGGCTTGAACACTTGTCACACAGATGCTCTCCGGTTTCTTTTGCATACTCCCTGCACCTGTCTTCTTGCCCAGCGTCTGATTGATCAGTGCCGGCCAGTGCCTCTTAATGTTGGAAGAAAATGTCCACTGGTTGGGTCCCAGCACTTCGGAGGCTGAGGCAGGAGGATCAGGAGTTCAAGGGCAGCCTTAGCTACACATCAGGGGTCTGAGGCCAGCTGGACTACTTGAGAACTTGCCTTACAGGGAAGGGGGGAGGGAGAGATCCAAACAACTGAGGATTTGCAAAGGGAACCTTTTTAGTAACGACTTTCTCTATCCTTGAGAGGGCATCTGGGACAAGCCAGTGCTCTGATGCCCTTCTGGGACAGGCGGGGAGATGAGGGGGTGATGAAGGGAGAGAGGAACCCACTTCCAAATGGAGCTGCTGGAGGGGCTCAGGGCTTCAGAATGCTGCCCACCCTCAGCTTTCCTGACAACACCTCTACTGAAAAACAAAAACAGACAAACAAAACAAAAAAATAGTGTCATGTTTTTGTGGGTCCGCCTGTCCAGACCCCAAAGTACTGCTATCCTAGTTGAGCAACATGGCAGGGCTGAGTGGCCTAGCAAGGCCTCTGTGTGCTGGAGAGGCTGAGAACCCCACAGCTGCCCATTCCACAAAAGTCCCAGGCATGCACTGAAGGCACAGAAGGTTCATTCAGTCCATGTATGACCTGATGCCGGGCGGTGATGGCACATGCTCCTAATCCCAGCATTTGGGTGGCAGAGGCAGGCAGATCTCTGGGTCCTAGACCAGCCTGGTCTACCGAGTGAGTTCCAGGACAGCCAGGGCTACACAAGAGAAACCCCCTGTCCGGAGTGGGAGAGGGAGGGAGACTCAGCTGATGTCAACACTCAGCCGGGCGACATGCCCCCTCCCTATCTCTTTACATCTGAAGGATGCTACCCACTCTCGGGTGGGTCATCCGGCTTTAGTGAGTTCTCTTCGGCAACTCGAATCCAGGCAGGTTGACCATCAAAGTTGTCAGGCCCTGGTGCATGGCTTGCATCCCTGCTTTTGCATAGAAACCATATCCACCCAGCAGAGCTATGTTCCCCGGCCATGCAGAAAAGCCTGTGCCGTCTAAGCCCTCCACCCCCAAGTCACTAATGAGAGGGGTGTCACTGGTAACTCTCTGGGCCACCTCACACGTTCCTCTGCTCACTGGATGCCCCTTCCCAAATCCATCTCCCACAACCCCTGAACCTACTAATATTCCTTCAAAATGACCCCAAACCCACACCCCGTCTCATGCTGCTGTGACATCCGCACCTGTTCTTCGTCTCTGTCTTCTCATCTTGAGTCTGTGCATGTATGGTCACTATCCCAATTTATCATTCTTCTATTTGTGGGGGAAGGAAAATGTAGCTAATAATGTGCTACCTGAAACATACTACATCAATAGTAATTGAATGGATGGATAGACAAACAGATGGACAGACGTATAAATGAATGGATGATGGATGGATGGACAGATTGATACATGAACGAACTGTATGTAAATGAACAGACAGATGGACAGACAGAGGGACAGATGGATGGATGGATGGATGGATGGATGAATCGATGGATGGATAAGTGGCTGAGCAGCTGAATGGTTGAAGAAACTGTTAAATTAATCATATTCCCTGGCTTTTTTTTGGCTTCAAGACAAATGGACCATTTAGTGGAAGCTCCCACTGAAAGGTCATCTAGATAATGAGACACAGTGTAGACCTTCAGGGATCACAAATCTGGCAGATCATGCCCTTGAGGAGGAGACACCACCCTGATTATAGCCCAGAAGAACTCTTTCTTGGCTGTAGCCCTGGGACCAAGATTCTCCGCCAATCACTCACCTCCCCAGCCCTGTCTGGAGTTAGGACAAGATTTCCTTTTGCCTTTGACCTATGGTTGGCAAAGAATCAGAGTCCAGGGCCTGACCACTGCCCCCAGCAAGCCTCAGGGGCGTGCCTGATAAGAGGCTTGTCAACCATTTCCACAGGTCTGGAAGGGTGATGTTTAATGACTTAAAGGTGACATCAGGGCTGGGAGTCATATCCGATTGAACAGAGAGACATGACCTAACTCGTCTCTCACCATGGTTCTGGCTGCGAGAGCTTGTCTTTATTAATTTCCTAACTGGAGCTGCTGGCTCAGGATTCCAGGCGGTCCCCAGAGCTGGGGCTCATGGTTGGGCTTAACTCCAGCGTGACCAGAAAGGCAGCAGGCCGCACTGTGACTGAGAAGGGCACCCGCCACAAAGCCTGAGCACGTCTCAGCCGGCACTGGCTCCTGCCACCAACAGATGTCACATTTGAAGGAAACAAATCCACATTTTCTGAAAAGTTCCTGGATCACATTGCAGGTTCCCTGGTGGCCACAGGGATGGCTTTCTTTGTGCTCTTAGAGGTGATTTAAACCCCGTTTTCCAGGAACACAAATCCTGCCTAAAGCACCCAGCACACCTGGCTAGAGAGCTGCAGGCCTTCGTCTGAGCCCGTCTGGGGGAGCAAGCTGGCTTTAGTTATTTTCCTTTCACATTCTGAACTGTAGGCAGAGAAATCTACATTCTTCATTGCCTTCCTCCTTGGCTCTCACCTTGCATGTACACACACACACACACACACACACACACACACACACACACACACGAGCCTCCAG